GGCTGGTTATTTATAGGGAAAAATCTCCTAGGGTTTGGCATGATTGGAGATTCCTTAAATAACAGTTGCTTTCTTATCCAGACTTAAAAAGGAAATGTGGCTATTAGAATATTTAAGGCTTACTTACATATGAAGGAGGTCATCCAGCTGGCGTGTGGCCTAGGCGATTTTGTTATATCCGCTTCAGACTCTTCAGATAAACCTTGCCTCGACGAGATAAATATGCTCCTTATGTTCTTCTCTCATTCCATTGGCCCTTGCAAATTACGTTGTCACGAATGAAATGTTCTCACTTTCTAAGTTTCATGTACGTACACAGTCCACACACACCCTTTCTCTTCAGCATTATCAGTTAAACCACATAAATCTTGCCGAAACAAAACTTATCCACCACAAACTAATATAACCTACATGCAACTAAAATGTTTTGCATACTTTGTTTAGACGAGCAATAACTTAAGTGAAAATACTAGAAATTGAGCCTTTTTACGGAGTTATCACCATACTACAACAATGGCCGAGATGGAGATCCAATGGAGAGATGTCCATAATCTTTTTAAAGCGCTAAATGTAGCCAAGGCCATAGCACAGTTCGAGATTGTGAAGAGTGAGCCAAAGCTGAGATACAAGGGTAATGGCGAGGGAGATAGAGAGAAGTCATCCAGAGATGAATCTGAAGAGCATCAAAAGGGCAAGAGAATGCCAAAGAATGAAGGATCCGAACAAATCCGTATAAAAGGCAAGTTCAGGTCATCTGGTGGCAGAGACCAAGAGAAGAACATAGAGCATTTCACGTGCTACCTTTTTGGGGGCAAGCACATGTTAAGGGATTGCCTAAAGAATGAGAAGTTGGCTGCCATATTGAGTCAATAGGTTGAATCAGACGTAGCCACACTTGCACAGTTATAAGCTTCAAGGATACCAAGCGGAGAGAAGAAGTGGAGCAACCGAGGTACCACCAAGGTGAGGAGTTACATAGTTGTGGAGATCGAGCCAGTGCGTCCAAGGAGGTGAATGAGCCTACAAGTGATGAGGCTATGAGGTTTGGCACAATGATCCTAAGTTATGTCAAGACAAATAGGAGCAAGAAGCAAAAAGGGTTGATGTATGTGGACGTCAACGTTGCAAGACGGTCAAAGAGTGCTCTGGTGGACACTAGGGCAACTGATCTATTTATTTCCAAGAGAGCTGTCGAAAATCTTGGTCTCTGAGTGGAGAAGAAAACTGGTATGATCAAGATTGTCAACTCCGAGGGAGTATCAGTTGCTAGAGAGGCACAGAATACTGAACTATATATTGGGGAATAAAAGGATAAGGTGGACTTTAAGGTAGTCTCATTGAATGGTTTTGATTTTGTGATCGATCTAAGTTATCTTTACCGTGTTAACGCTTTCATTTTCGCCTACGCCGATACTTTAACCATCCTTGATCTTAAAAAAACAATGTATTATGCCTTTGAAATGAGATAAGGGAAAAGAGATCAAGGGATTTACAGCAATCCAGTTTGTTGAAGATGTTCTAAAGGAGGCGAACATCCATGAAGGGATGATGAGACCCGAGCTCTCGAAGGACATGGAGACACCACCAATAGATGAGCTAGAGGCACTGGACTTCAATGTGGAAGAGCAGATGCAACAAGGGGCACCGAACTTCAAAGGAGAAGTGTCGATATATGGAGCATCAGGCTTCAAGGACAAAGGAGGGCTGATGCATTTTTGGGTGATTGTAATCAAAAGATACAAGGTACATCTTGAACACAACTCTTGTGTTGTTAAGTCTAATTTGTCATCATCAGTGAGTCTAGGTCGAGGAGGACCTAATCACAAAAGGGAATCAACTAAAGGTTGGAAGGGACTGAGGGAGTCATCCAAGCCTTTACCAAAGGATTGAGGCGGTCCGTTCAGAGGCAAGTGTAGACGGGTAGGAAAGAGTTCCTACAATCGAGGTGTATGCAATGAGACAAAAGAATACAAGGTTACATGGTGGCAAAAGCCAAGGTAAGCAGTCCATATGGGGTATCGCAACAAGCCAAGGCACCGGAAAAGAACCAAGAGGGGCAAGTCCAAGTACATTCCAATGGTGCGATGAGGGCGTCGCTAGGCTCGGTGGAGGAGAATGTCACGCCCTTAGAGATTAAGCCCGAGGCATGTGTGCTTGAGATCGGGACGGAGGTTCTCAAGAAGATATTGGGCGTGACTAGTCCATCAGACTTGGCCCAAAATGTGGAGAGGGCAAAAGGGCTCGAGCCTATTCACACTGACTGTACAAACAAAGAAAGTGACACCTTATCAGATTGTGTCCACATAGGCAACGCAGATATGGCAAGAGATAACAAATCAGAAGAGATTGTGGGGGAATCTTACTATATCAAGTGTGATCAACCATCCAAGGAAAGAATCAGACTAATTGATGTGATGAGATGGTGGTTTAGATGTCTTCACTTAAATAGGAGATTTGATTAGATGGTGATTGATAGAGTTTCCTTATATACAAAGATTTGTAATTAATATGGCTCATCTCAGCTATTGATTTAGATTGATCTTAGTCGTCCACTACAAGGAGATTCAACTATAAATAGAGGCCTTCCCCAGCTCATTTGTACTCACTTCACTTTTCATTTTATTTGGTGGAATACAAAGAGCATTTAACCAACTTTCTCTCTTGTTTGTGTGAGCTATCTCATTTCCAAGTTCTTTTGTGCTTCCGTGTTGTACTAAGCCTTCTAGCTTAGTATTTTTCAGGCTGACGTAGGTGGAAAAAGCCCAAGAGTGGTTCCGAAGCATCTAAGGCCGCACGTTCACGAGTTTAAGGCTCCAAGAGCGTTACATTAGTGAAGCTCAAGTTGAAGTGATTATCTCAAACCTTAAGAGGAAAAATATGATGAACACTTGGAATGCACTGTTGGATTGAGTGATACTTTGAAGTGCCAACTTTAGACACCAATAAACATGATGATAGAATATAAGATCGAGAGTCTAAAATCCATATGTATTCAATTATACTAAAATAATATAGTATATAATTGATTAATAATCCATTGATGTAATAAAATAATATTTTAAATCTTTTAAATAAAATAGATTATTTAAATTCGGGAATCATGAATGAACGAAATTAGATTGAAAAATTTATTTTTATAATATACTTTTTGTAATATATAATTCAAATTATTCAATCAATAAATACGATAATATAATTATAAAAAGAATCATATGTTGTTGAACTAATAAAAAATAATAATATCTCAATTCCTATTCATTAGTAATCCTAGATTCCCCGGCTTCCTCGCCCATGTAGGGCGTTGGAAAAAAAATCCCTATATAGGGCTCTATCCAAATTATTTCTTGAACTAGGGTGTTTGCTACAGTGACCTCATTGGTCGCCAAGTGCTCCATAGGTCGCCAAGTGCTCCTTGCGATAAAGCCTCCTCTGTTGCAGCAACTCTTCTCTCTTTCCTTGTTGTTGTAGCTCCATAAGTCGCCAAGTGGGTCCATAAGTCGCCAAGTGCTACATAGGTCGCCGTGTGCTCCTGGAGACCTATGGAGGTCGCCATGTGCTCCTAAAGACCTATGGTGGTCACTGTAGCAATCACTCTACTTAAACAAATAATTTTTCGACTACACTATGTGTAGAATTTTTTTCTATTGCATTATTCAAACTTTTTTGCCAGATTCCCCTCTACTTATTAACTAGAAGGAAAAATGTGACGAAACATTAAACGTATCCCTAAAAATTCAATGATTAAGTTGGAATTATATGGAGCAATTATAGCAAAATTTGTGAATAATAATCTTAACAAAAGCCAGCAGATAACTTGAAAGCAGCTCAACCTCACAAACACCATGCATTTCAATTGCTTACTCATCAATCAACCAAAAATAGTTAAGAAAAACGAAAGGAGTAATACAATCAAAATTCATGAACAAAAAAAATATGAATATAATGTGTTCAAAAGAAAACAGCACCTAAACATAGGTGACTTGGTAAATAATGTCCTACATTTTTGGCAGTGCAGAAGCTTGTTTTATTCATGTTACAAAAGTAATGGCTAAAACCTAAATCCCCTTCTAAACCCAAGGGCATGGAATCCCATGAGAAATTCCCAGCCACAACAGTTACGTGGTGAAGATGGAGGCGCCGCAGTGTTGTAATGACACGCGTATTTCAACCTCGTACGTGGCTATCTATCATCCAGAGCCCTAGTCTTCGTACCCTCCTCCTCCTCCTTTTACGTAATCCAGTAAAAACATTTCTGAAAAATAACCCATTTCCTATATAAATTGGAAATTTTCACCCTGTTTCAATTTCAAGAATTTAACCGATCACTGTCTTCCAAGCTTTGACACAATTGTTTCTTTTGTCTGTATTGACTTTCCGTTTTAAGTAACTTTCTTACATGGATATTATGAACTGAGCTGTTTTTGTTTCGGCCTCCGACACTGCATGTTTGGATTTCTGCAGTTCAAACTTGAAACCCAGTTTTTTTCTTGCTCCTTAATAAGGTATGGTAATTTAATCTTGATCTGTTTCTCCTACGTTTCTTCCTTCAAATTCGTTTTTTTTAATTCATTCGTTTCTTATAAACTACTCTTCTGCTTATAGAAAATTCAAAGATTTGCTTTCCTTGTTTTCCTGCATTCATATTCATGTTTCAACAATATGAACAAATATTTTTTTTCTAACCTTAGTTGGAAATCTTACTAATCATTTCGGTCCTACGTGAATGACTCAAATTCCGAGTTGGATTCAACTAGAATTTGTTTTTCAATCATTTTCTTCTTCTTAATTTCCTTGTTTCCTTTTCAACAAAAAAACATGCCCGAATTGCAGGAAAATTTCCCTATTATCTTTAAAACCAAGATAGACACCGCGCCTTGCTTATAATTTCTTCCATTTTTATGCATTGTTTTATGTCCAGCCGCTTTCCTAATTTTCAAGCTTTTCCCAGATTTTAAGATTCTTAGAACAGCACCTAGCATATATAAATGTTAATTATATTGATTGATGATTGCTAAGAGTTTTACTCTCCAATGAAGCAAACTTTAGAGGTATCTTCCAACATCAAAGACAGAAGAAGAAGATGGAGACTGTATACCAACCTTTTTATACTGATCACGAGTTTCAATCCCTCATCGAAAGAATTCATCCTCCCAGGTATTTTACTTTTACCAAAATGAAAAGAAGAGTGCTTTTTTCTTGTTAATTTTTGAAGTTGGGGTTGTTTAATAAATGAAAACAAATGGCTTTACAATACGGCGGTTTGATGATTACAGGGTTTGCATCGACAACGACGCATGCCGAGACTGCACGCTTGTAAAGGTTTGATCAAAATACTTTTTTATTTTTATTTAAATTAAATTGAACTGTTGAGTATATATATAAATATATATATGATATTTGTAGAGGAATTTTTTTTGTCTATTGGAGCAATCAGTAATTAGAATTTATTATTTTATGTGTATTTATTATCGTATTATTTTATTATGAGATTTTATCTCTCGATATTTAAGAGAGTTTTTAAAGAATTTTAGATTGAAAATACAAACTTTTAATTATATTTAACTTCGTGGGATGAGATATGTTGAGTTGTTTGAAACCACCAAAATTAATGTCAAAAGCTTAAAGAACTTGAATGTTAACGACGATTTCGACATTAATTATGTACAATTTCAAACGACTCGACAAATAGTTTAATTTGACACGAAAGATTGAGGACAATACTCTCTTATACATTTAAAACATTTAAAAGATTTTTAAAGTGTTAAAATACATTCTCAAAGTTAAAATATCTTGAAAATTTAGTACAATCTTTAATTGTTAAGAACTCAAGCGGAAGATCCCTGGACTTGAAGAAAATTAGTGTTGCGTTAATTGGCTTTTGTATAGTGGTTTGGATCCAAAAGCAAAAGCTAGAAAGGTTGAAGATTCCATCCATAGATAGTGGTGTGAAACTGAGGGACAAAGATTTAAGTAATCGATGTTAGTTAGCCACTCGTATTAATTTGTTGTAATCTTCATTAACTCAATTTCCCCATTGGTTAATGTGGAAATTAATAAGATATTAGTAGTGGATAGTTGAAAGTTGAAACCAACCTACTGGAGACTCATCCATCACAAATGAAGGCAACATTAACTTAATATTATTCCCATAATCGATATTTGAAGATCTAGCTCCTAAAAGACCAAAAGCCCCATGAAAACAAACTCAATGTTGAAAGGGTAGAATAAGCCACATTTATTCTTCAAAAATAAATAAATATGGTTCCGGTGAAAGCAGTTGTTTTCTGACAAGGCTTTTTCACAGGTGGATAGTGCAAACAAGCACGGGATTTTGCTGGAGATGGTCCAGGTTTTGACAGATCTTGACCTCGTCATTTCCAAATCATACATTTCATCGGACGGTGGATGGCTTATGGATGGTCAGTCTATATACCCCACCATATCACATACACGTATATAATATGATTCCTAATTCATTTGTTGCACGGCTTGCAGTGTTCCATGTGACAGACCAGCTAGGGAACAAAGTTACTGACGAGAACCTTATTGTTTACATTCAACAGGTCTCTGATTTTATATTTTACTGTAAAACAACCAATTAGTTTTTGAATTGCTTTCTAATAAGAGAATGATATTTGATAGGCACTCTCTGATACAAGAAGGAGAGGAGGAGGGATTCCAAAGGAATTACAAGCATGCCTCAAACAAGAGGTGAAGCCTTGCTATGTCTCCACCGAATATACTGCCATAGAGATTACCGGCAGGGATCGACCTGGACTCATCTCAGAGATCTCCGCAGCTTTATATGAATTGAGGTGCCATGTTACTGCTGCCGTTGCATGGACTCATAATTCCCGAGTAGCATGCATAATCCATATCGAAGATGGGATCAAGGGAGGGCCGATCATGGCGCCGAAACTGCTGGCTCAAGTACACGAAAAGTTGGGGAGTGTAGTTGATGCTCATCATGAGAGTGGAGAGTGTAGGAGTGTCCGGTTAACATCCCCGGCAGCTGGCAGGACACATACGGAGCGGCGGCTCCACCAGTTGATGTATGCTGATAGGGACTATGAGCAGTGTCAAGGCTGCGATGAAAGCTGCAGGCGGTGGAATGGGTGTACGAAGACTCATGTAACGATAGAGGCTTGCAGAGAAAAAGGGTACTCGGTAGTGAATCTGAGGTGTAGAGACAGAACCAAGCTCTTGTTCGACACAGTTTGTGCTTTAACCGACATGCAATACGTAGTGTTTCATGCTGCCATTAGCTCAAAGGGCACCATGGCTGATCAGGTACTTTGAAAACAAATTCTTACAAGCAACTCACAGATGCTTTCATTGTTTTCGTTTTAAATTAACAATGATCTACATTCAGGAGTATTTCATAAGGAGACAAGATGGATGCAGTCTGAATACACAAAGTGAAAGAGAGGAACTGGCACGATGCTTGATTGCAGCAACCGAAAGAAGAGTCTCCGATGTTAGTGTCATAAAACAAGAAAACTTTTGCCTTATGCTTTTAGTACTTGAAATTGTATGTTTTGACAATCCTTTTCATGCTACTTTGATGCAGGGGTTGAGGCTGGAATTGTGTACACTAAACAAGATGGGATTGCTTTCAGATGTGACGAGGGTGTTTCGTGAAAACGGGCTATCGATAGCCCGAGCCGAAATCGGGACACAAGGGGAGAGAGCAACCGGATCTTTCTACGTTACGGATGCTTCGGGGGATGAAGCAAATCCAAGAACAGTGGAATTGGTGAGGCAAGAGATCGGGGGGTCTTCTTTGATGGTATACAAATCTCCCAATGGGACTTCTAGAGCTTCTTCTTCAAGTATTAGCAGAACCAGCAGTGGTGAAGTGGAAGAAAGGGCTAAGTTCTCATTAGGAAACTTGTGGTCTCAGCTTGAGAGATTTTCGGAAAATCTCGGTTTCAATAAATCGTGAATAGTTCCTAATTGTGTACATAAGTCCATTATTTATGAAAAATTAGGTCTCCTATTTTCTAACTTTTAATTAAATTATTATTCTTTTCCTTGTTTATGCTATTGTTTGATCCACTTATTAAGATTTTCTAAAATCTGTCCAGTCGGCAAAAACAAAATATTGCTCTTTGTCATACAAACTTAAATCCCTTTCCTGAACAAACACAACTGCTATGATAGATTATGAATATTATTGCATCAACACGTCGTTATCCAATTTCGACAGAGTTTTATGTACATAAAAACAGTTTCCAGAGCCTTAGCTCAAACTGAAGAAATCCTACACAAGGTATTAACAAGATTATAAGGAAGACGAAACTAGAATACAGATATCGCAAAGCTTATTGGTTCACATGATTTCTTCAATATCAAGCCAGTCATTTGATTCCTTGGTTTTGGGGTTTCGAGTACGTTCCTGCTCAGACCCAAAATGTTCATTACCAACACAGTTAACATCTTTAACCGAGTCCGTAGAGCTCCTGCCCAGCTGAACCCAATCTCTTGAGTCTTTCATTGAAGAATCAGAACCAGATATCACCTATCTGTAACTTATTGGCACATCCTCCTCCTCCTCAAGATCACTGAATGGAACATCCTCATCATTATCAAGAGGTACTGTGGTAGCACTTGTACCAACTGCCTCCGAAGTTTCCTCTTTTAACCAGTCATCACCATCATCTTCATATTTCTCAATAGAAACTACAGAAGAGCCGGATGTTGAATGTTGATGTTTGGCTTCTTTTATTGGCTCTTCCTCAATGATAGACTTGTCAACGACCTGCACCTCAGTACTCTGAAGTGGGTGCTTTTCTGTTGAAATTTCAACAGCCACAGAAGTAGTGGCTACCTCAGTTTCAGCTTCCTTGAATGGAACTGACTTAGATTGAGCGGAATAAGGCACAGAAAGAGACTCTGCATGTGGTAAATCAGCCTCTATATTTGAAGTGCCACTTTCAGGATGATCTTCTGCAGCCTTAGCCTTTGCTGGGTGCTGTATCCCTTGCATTAACGCTGCTCTTGCTTCAACTATCTGCATGCAGAACATTTAACAGTTAGAAATACAGAGAGGTGAAGCAGAACAGAGGCGTGAAGGAAGGTGAATCACAAAGAAAAGCACAAGCAATCATTCCCTTCATTCCATATTATTAAGGCATAAAAAATTTTGGGCATATATTTTAAGGAAACGACGTGCATAATAAATGAGAATATTGATTGAAGGCGAAACAAGAGATCTGAAAAGAAACTGAGACTAGAGTAAGATAGCCACTGCAAGGAAATATCAGGATGATAAATCAACTTATACACTAGCAGTTCTTTGTTACGAGAGGAGAATTTGTGAAAAATGACATTCAAGGCTGAAAAAGACGTGCATAGAACTTGATGAGCTTCTATTTCCGAATGCACTTAAGAATTTTGAACATTAATTACTTTGTTAATATTAGTTTTATTCTCATCGTCATACCCAGTGGCGGATCTTGACATTGAATTTTGAGAGAGCCATTATATATAAAGGATATTTAAAAAAAAAATTGGGGGAGACATTATATATATGAAGGGAAATTTTAACAAATTTGAAGGACCATAAAGAAAATTTTCCAAAATTTGGGGGAGCCAAGGCTCTCCCTGGCTCCTTATATGTTCCGTCTCTGGTCATACCTGCGGCAGATAAAATTCCTTGAGTGAAACCTCAAGAACATGATACACAACACCTTGAATCACAATAAATTGGGGGATAAACCAATGAAAAGAAGAAAAAAAGATCCACAAACTTACTTGGGGAGTCGAGAGTAGTTCTGCATCATGTTTATTTAGTCGAGGAAGCAGAAGTACAAAATAGATCTTCCAAAAGCAACCTTCACTCATATATCCTGGGCAAAGTTCAATCCTAAGAGCAGCCAATCTTGGTGCAAGACGTTCAACAGCTAAGGCATGTTCTTGTTGCTCATCAGACATATCAAAATATGATATTTCAAAACAATAAAAGGATGCTAGAAATTAGCCACATTCATAACGTGCATCAATGCACAACCACATCATTGAACAAAGAGTAGAGCAGCCCTTTGGGAAACCAAATGTCAAAGCAGCGATATGGAAACATTCCATTAAATGCATCTTCAGACAATACACCAAAATATTTACAGTTTCTCAAAATCCTTGAATTCACAATATGCCTTTTTTGCCCAGTATTTCATCTAAATGGAAGGAAAAAATGTGATTCAAGCAAGAATTATATAACTAAAAACTTCAATAGCCATTACCAAGAATCTTAGCACATTATAACAAAATATACCAGGAATATGTACCGGCTTGTATGACTAAATTTTCTACTTCACGCCTGTATGTTTATTGCACTGAATGACAGAAATTCTCAAACCATCATCAAACTTATATACAATATATAAATATACACAGAAAGGTCTAACATAAGACTCATGAGCAGTTCTGATAGTTGCTTTACAAGTAATCAATTAGCCATCAACTCTTAATGTACTCGTAAGGCAGAAAGGGATCATTTCACATGTCTGTGTCAAAGCAAGCGAACTTAACTATACAGGGTTTGATATCCAAGTTTCATAGAGATATCAAAGGATTGAGAAACCACGATGCAAAAAGCAATTGAAAGATCCTTTATAACAACCATAAAGGATCAAAATGTAACTTACTTCATTTTATTATCCGCTGATTTCAAAAAATTTACACCATTCTATAATCAATGATCAATATTTAATTATCAGCAGCGCATTACAAAATCCAGCATCAGAGTTAATCAAATAAAATTCAAAATTTTGCATTAAAAATATAGAGAGAATAAATCACACATTAAACAAAAAAAAAAACAGAAGTTACCAATGAAGGAACAAGAAATCAGCTGATTTGAAATGTTCATTAATCTAATTTAATTAAAATCCAATAATCTACAAATTAGTAATTAATTAAATTACCATCAAAATCATCATTATCGGGAATGGGAAAATCGAGCCAAGTTTCTGGATGCATCGCGATATCCCTAACGAAAGCGACCACTTCTTCGGTGACATCGACTGTGTATCCACTCGCGTATTTTTCAAGACCATCTTCCTCGGACCCAAACTGAAGGAAATTCGAAGCGATCTTAGTCGGGATTTGGATCGGATTCGGAATTCGGATTCAGGTCTGCATTGGGGTGATCCTCTTCGTCTTCGTCAAGCTTGAGCGAGTTAGCAATCGATCTAGCTAACCACGACATTTTTTATGGTTTCTCCCTTAAATTTGCATTGTAATTTTGACTTGTATAGTCGGGAATAGTTTGTTGAAAGGATGATAATAGGTAGAGATGACTGTATTAGTCCTAAACGACAGCGTCTTCGTCCTCTTACGATGCTGGTTATGTATCCATCCCTATGCCATTTTTCTAGAACAATAGTCTAATTTGGTGGGATTTTGTTTAAAATGCAGAAAATTCAGGGGATTTTATAACATAAAATATTATCATTTAATAATGTTTTTTACATTAATATTAATATAATATTTTAATAGAAATCGCTATTCTTATTAAAAAGTAAAAAATCCAAAATTACAATAAGGTTTACAACTATCATCGTAAACTAATTAGATATTTTCTTATAGCATTGATACAAGAAACTAGTTACCTTACATCATACACAGATCATATATGAAAAAGGTTAAAAACTCAACCAAAAGACTTAAGCGAAAAATAGATATGAACAAATCTAACTACTTCAGTAAACAAACCACAAAAGAAGATGAAGTTATTGAAAGGCTACTGAGAACTGTAAATCAGAGTTGAGTGTCATGAAAAATTATCTATAAATGAAAAATCGCATATCTAATTCAATTCGAGGTCCATAATAAGAAAGATTAACATGATTAAAAATAAGAGTCATTTTGATTAGTCGTGACGACAAATCCAACCTTGAAAAACATAAAATAAAGAAACATCCAAACAACCAAGAAAAAAGAAAAAAAAATATGTTGCAAAATAGAGAAAAATATACCACAAACACAAAACTATTCTTATTTAAAAAACAAAATAATGTGATTTTTTTATATTGAAACTATATCAATGCACATATTTTATTTTGACAGATTTACATGATATTCTTTTATTGAGCAGAGAATATTATATTTGTAAGATAAATATTAAGATTTAAACTCACATAAAAAATTGAATCACTCAATTAATAAATAAATTTCTACATAGTATATATTCCCTAATAAATCCATATTCCAGACTACAATCAATTTCTAAAAATACGAGATTTTGTTCTATACTATCTATCCAAAATTATAATGTATAATCTACAGGAAAGTATGTTAAAAAATATGAATCAATAAAAACATCTTTTATTTTTCATAATACTAATTTAACATTTAAAAGTATTTTTTTAATAATTCATCACGTGACTTCATTATCTACATTTAACAAAACCTACAAATCTAAAAAAAATTAAAACAGATGCTTCAGAGAGAGATTATAAACTATTCTAAAACACGTCAAAAATATAAAAAGAACAATTAGTGCAGATACAAGCGAATTGCTCCCGATTCATATCGACTCTCAATACTATTCATGCTCAATTTAGGCCTTTGACTCAATGTTCAAACAATGAGGATGGATAATTGACTTCACATGAAGCCAACCACCCAGCAACTCAAACATGTTTCTCAGTCATAATTTGAGATGCTTCATCATGATTATCGGTCGGTTTACATGCAAGATTTTCTTCGCAGAGACACTAACGAACCTCCTTATTATAAAACTAGAGCCATCCAGCCTTATTCTTTAAATTTGTCCTTTTAATTCAAAAACACCATAGAAGTTTTTATAAAAAGATGTTCAAAATATTATTTTTGAAACGGATTTTAATAAACAAAATACGTTTTTACAATAATTATTTGAATTTGTTGGTTTAGTTTGCTTTAGCTTTCTAGGGTCCCTTCTAGCGTGGATGGTCCAGACTGGATGATGGGTCGAAGACCACAATAAACTATAAAAAGAAATGAAATATTAAAAGAGATAAAAGGGGGAGATTTTAGTATCATTATCAGCTGTAGAATCAATTATTGGGTTTCCTTGTTATGCTCTCAGTCGGCAACCCAAGGGTAAGAGCTCCAACACCGTTCATGAATGTAATCAAGGCAAAATATATGGAGGTTTTCAAGCGACAAAAACATATTAAAAGGTCCAAATTGTATAATATGCTATAAAAACGTCTTAATATATCGCCCTAAAACCAGGAAGAAGATCAAGTTTCATACCACTTTCTGTAAATTTCAACATATAAACAATTACATCCAAATCAAAAGTTCCTGCTAAGTATGATGCTATTGCCAAATGGACTGACTCATGCTGAATGCGCTCAAGTTAAACTATAAATCAGTCAAATATGTTTGCAATTTCGGCTGAATCTGAATAACTCGAAAGGATGAGCAGAGTAATGGCCATGAATGGAGCAGAAATCGCTCTCTTGATTCACTATTAAAAAAAAGAAACATCATCTACTTCATCTACTAAAAAAGGCATTTTCCTGGCAAATTGCATGGGGCGACATACAGAAAGACATGGAGCTACTAAGGTCAACTTTCAACATCAAATCAAGAGGAGATTAAAGACTTTCCCCTAATGCTGAAATCATTAATCAATATGAAATTTTCATGAATTCCCATTTTAGAAGAACAATAAATCGTGGATTTGAAATCAGAGTCTTAACATATAAGTACATGATTTTGTTGCAAATCCTATTAAAATTACTAGTATTTATAATATTTACCGAATTACTTATTGAAGACAACATCACCTACCACTACCATATATAAACAGAACTAAAAAAACGAGGTAATGACAATAGTTAGAAAGACTGTAGATACTCGAAAATGACAGAAAAATTCTACCTAACTCAAAAGAATTCCCTATAGTTTTCTTCTACCTAACCAAACCTTGGAACTAATTAACAATGAGTTCAACCAAAAAATTGATTTGCAAGATGGAAGAAGAGAATTTTGTCAGTCTCTTTCAAGCTTGGAAAAAGCCCCCCAAAACCTGATCAAACACCCTTTAATCCCCTTAAAATCCCCACCTACCAACACCATCATAAAAGTAAACAACTATTATCCTTTCACATGCAAAGCGATAAAGAGAAATATAAAGGAAACACCTTTGGCATGTAAAACTATTAAAAAAAACCAAGGAACCAATTAAGTACATATCTAAAGTTTCTTTAATTCAATGAAAAATCATACATTTGCTGCTTTGTTTTGCTTTACCATGGACCCTCATCAGCAGGGTAATCAAAGGGAACTTCAGTAACGGTGGAGGAATCCTGTAGATCCTGGTGTATGAACCCGTACTTCCTTAAAACCTGATTATCAGCAAAGTTCAAAGCTTTGACCATCCCATTCCAACATGATTCCCCAGCATACATCTGATTATGGTCTCCACTACATGGCTGACATCCCGTGAAATGCGTGATGAATGGTCTCCTCCAACTCCCCCTCCCATTCCCAGCTTCCTTCAAGAACCCTTCCCTAAACGCACCGTATTGCTCGCTCACTTTCTCTCCATGTCTCCTCCTCAGCTGTGGCACACCTCTCTCGATCTCCAAATACCTCTCCGTAGTATTTTCATACCCTCCGATAATCTCAACCCAATACCCTTCGAAATAAAACTCACCTTCCAAATATATGATCGTAATATTGTCTTTTTCTTTGTAAAGCAAATAAATCAGAGCCGATTGATCATCTGATTCGGGGAAAAGCTTATCTTTGAACGTTGATCGTTGAACCTGACCCCACTTTTTGTACTCCTTTCCCATCGGACCCATGTTAGACCAAGTATTGATCAAATCCATAGACCATTGGCAGTTCCTAATCAAGAAAACTCCAGCATTTAAACTGGTCCAACTTTTACTGTTGTATATCAACTTTGGCCAACCGTGAACCATCAAGTTATGGTTTTTATACCTTTCTAAAGGTAACTTAAACTCCATGTCTGTAAACAACGCGTCCGAGTCAACCCACCAGATCCACTCGGCTTCAGGGTGAGCCAACATGGCTGCTTTAACGATCGGCAACTTCGCCCAATAAGAACCCATTTTGGGGTGTAATAACAAGTTGTTGTAGAAGATATCGTAGCCATGGATTCTACAGTAATCGACCTTGTTCTTGAAAAAACGCAAGAGTAAATGATCACCCATGGGGTTCTTACATGGCTTTGGTTGGGACCCGGTTACCAGAACGATTCTTTCACTTGCTCCGGCGGCGAACGAAGGGTGATGCTTTAACCACTCTCTCCGTTTTTCGTCCCAATCTTTTACTGGCTTTTCTATAGAGTAACTCATCTCCGGATCGTCGTAAAAGGTCGGGTCTTTCGGGTCGGACTTCAAGTTAACTCCGAACCCACTTTCCTTGCAGTTAGACGATGGGTTGATAATAGAGGAGCCGAAGTTAAGAGTTGGAGTGAAAAAAGACCAAAATGAGCATACTAATAAAAAAGCTAGAAAAACAAAACCACAGTAAAGAAAACCATCAGAGAAACACCATAACGACCGGTTTCGAGGCTTCGCCATGGGAGAATACTCCGAGTGAGATAACCCAGGAGACACCATTTTTCCTTTGGTAACAATAGATAATAGTTTCTAAGGGTTTTTTAACAGAGAAGACATGGAAAAGGAGGGGAAGAAGCCAAAAATAGGGATGTCTAGATTTGATTGGGGACAAGAGAGTGGGCTGATATATGTATTATGTAGACACTGAGGTGGCGTCAATATGCTAAAATATGCGAGCTTAGGAAACGGAGATTAATGAGTTGAGATGGGCGTGAACTACGGTTGGAGAACACGTGGGATTGATTGCTGACCGCTGTGAACTAAAGTCTAAAATGGTATATTATATGTTGGACTTTTTTTAATTTAGGGCGCCAATTCTCCGTTTTTTACGTTTAAATTGACTCTTATTTGTTTTTTAATTATTGAAATTTAAAGACGAAAACATAAAATATTTTATTAATGGGTGCTTTTAGATTTTTTAAGCTAATGAAGATTTTTAATAATTGAAAGTGGATATACAATTTGTCACTTCAAATAGGGATATAAATAGGGTTGTAATTGAATATAACATTCGATGAATTATTTATGAACTGTTCA